CCTCCTTCCATTTACACGTATTTATAAAAATACGATTTGAGCATTTTCTAACTGGCCAGGATAAGATATTAAAAACTTTAGTCGATCAAATTTATTTTTCCGAGGCTCCTTGATTAAGAATTAGTGTTTTTAACATAGCCATGGCACTCTAGATTGAATTTTAAAGTATGATTTTTTATTAAGCGAGAAGGCATTTCCGGTGAAACAGGAAGTGACCAAAAACAATTGAATACGTCAATCAATCCTAATTTATGTCATATACTAACATACCAAATCTCGTTTTTTTATCTAAAAAAATAAAAAAGTTATAGGGGTGAGCCACTTTTGAGACGCACCCGGTATTTATTTCCTCTACATAATATTTATCATATCTATTAGGAAATAAAATCGAAATGTTATTACTATAGAAACGCGTTTTGATTTTTGGTACTTAAAAAATTCAACTATAATTTTACATTTTTGTATTTTTCTCTTAAAGGATATGGAAATTTGGAAAAATATAAATGGAATTAACCATTTTAGAACAAGCAAAAACTTTTGTAAAAAGTTAATAATAAAACAGTTTTTTCTCTTTTAAAGACAATCCGGAGACATACTGTATATTTATAAAATATTTTTTTACATTCCTGAAGCCGGCTCTGACGAAGAATTTATAAAAAGCGAAAACAAGGCCTCGAGTTTATGTTTGAATCAAGAAACACCTACTTGTCGTTGTATGCAGATTTTTGCATATTTATGAATTTCATTTTGCAGTCGTATCAGTCTAAATCTACGGGAGTAAATCAACACGTAGGTAATTTAGTCCTCTGATATGAAAGCACCAGTTATATTTAAAAAAAGTCTTACGCTTTGTTATAAGACGGAAATTGCTGTATACTATTTATAAAATAAACACAAACTCAGGCACGAGAACATATTATTCATTAAATAAAGGAAAATATATTACACTGTATTTATTTTAAATTTAAAACCTTTACATAAAATTAAAAAGTTTTATACCTACTTCAGACACTAAGAAAGTTTTCCTTATTAATCTGTATAACAAAAAGTTCACTCTTACATTTTTAAAATCCACTTGCTCTTTATTTAATAGCCATAAGTTGCAGTTTTCTTGTCCGTTTAGTAAAATAATTATAAAACACTGCAACAGAAAATTTTCGCGAATGCAGAAGAGCAGAAAATAAATTATTGAAAGCGCTTTTTGTCATTTAACGAGCGTCTAGACGTTCAAGAGATCAGACACGAAAAAAGACGATGTTTTAATGAATAATTTTTGCTAAAGAATTTAAAAAATGGCGAAGATAGGTAGGTATATATTTTTACAGAAGGTATCTTTGTCAAAGACGAATATTTTTTATAATACAATGATTTACTGTTGAGATCTTTTTATATAGAAACGAAATTAAAAAATATAAATTTTTTTATGATTCAAATATCTTAAAAGTGAGAATTACGTTTGAAAAAAAAAGTCTATATACATATACCGGGTGCGTCTCAAAAGTGGCTCACCCCCTATAACTTTTTTATTTTTTCAGATAAAAAAACGAGATGTGATATGTTAGTATATGACATAAATTAGGATTGATTGATGTATTCAATTGTTTTCAGTCACTTCCTGTTTCACCGGAAATGACTACAACTTTTGATTTTTAAATGGCACCCACGGTATTTTTTTACTTTATTCGATAAAAAATGACATTCTGAATAGAATGACTAATATGTCAACTTTTGACATTTTCGCTTAATAAAAAATTGTATTTTAAAATTCAATCTAGAGTGCCATGACTATGTTAAAAACACTAATTCTTCATCAAGGAGCCTTGGAAAAACAGATTTGATCGTCTAATGTTTTTAGTGTCTTGTCCTGGCCAGTTAGAAAATGCTGAAATCGTATTTTTAATTATATCCCAATTTTTTCAAATGGAACGAGGGTGGCTCATTAGCATATTTGGAAAAAGTATTTTTTTACGAATAATTTGATACCACACACTTGGTATTTCAAGTCAAATTTTCGTTACGAACCGCAAGTTATAATTTCAAATAAACCATATGCGAAAATGTCAAAAGTTGACATATGATATGTCATTCTATTCAGAGTGACATTCTCTATCGGTTAAAGTAAAAAATACCGGGGGTGCCATTTAAAAATCAAAAGTTGTAGTAATTTCCGGTGAAACCAGAAGCGACTGAAAACAATTGAATATATGTCAATCAATCCTAATTTATGTCATATACTAACATACCAAATCTCGTTTTTTTAACTAAAAAAATAAAAAAGTTATAGGAGTGAGCCACTTTTGAGACGCACCCGGTATTTTTTTAATTTTTTGATTTGTTTTGATTAGTTTTGAATAATTTGATACCACACACTTGGTATTTCAAGTCAAATTTTCGTTACGAACCGCAAGTTATAATTTCAAATAAACCATATGCGAAAATGTCAAAAGTTGACATATGATATGTCATTCTATTCAGAGTGACATTCTCTATCGGTTAAAGTAAAAAATACCGGGAGTGCCATTTAAAAATCAAAAGTTGTAGTAATTTCCGGTGAAACCGGAAGCGACTGAAAACAATTGAATATATGTCAATCAATCCTAATTTATGTCATATACTAACATACCAAATCTCGTTTTTTTAACTAAAAAAATAAAAAAGTTATAGGAGTGAGCCACTTTTGAGACGCACCCGGTATTTTTTTAATTTTTTGATGTTTTCATTTTCTACATCATTTTATTAATTATATTATTTTTGGTTTCTTGTTTTACTTTTGTTTTTATTTTTTTGATTAGGTATTATTTTTAATTTTCTTAATCTTCTCAACATTTTTGTAGTATGTAATGGTAGTGTTCATTTTAAGCATTTGCTTAATATATAGGATTTTAAAAAAATTACACTAAAGTTTTAGTTTTTGAAATAAAATAATCTATTTTTTAGTTTAGTGGATTTTTCATAAGATATTAATTCTAAAAATACAATAATGTCACAATATAGTAGTTGTTTTTAAAATATGAACATATTTGGACTAGATATACGGACAGGGTTTTCAGTGATATTTAGTGCCATGCAGGCTTACTTTTATAATACTTGCAAGGTTTTACCTAAGTCGCCAGAAAAAAATACAAACTATACAGGGTAGAGTTTATAAGTGCAAATATTTTGAGGGCTGGTTAATCTCGATAAAAAAACATATTTTCTCTTTACCGTTTTTCAAATAAGTCAGAAATAACAATTTTTTTTACTTAAAAAAATATATATATATTTTTGCTAAAATTTTGAGATCTACTAGTTTTTTTCCGGTTTTTTGTTTTTCTAAATATAATCTACTAATTATGTTGCCATATTATTAAGATAATATTTTCTTTCAACTAAAGATTATAAAAATTTCCAATTTTTTTTTTTTCGAAAATACATAATTTTTATTTTTTTTGTCGAAAAAACCTCAGATACGTGTTTTTGGGGTCGAAATATACCACCCCTAAAAATATTTGCACTTATTTAAGACTCACCCTGTATATATAGAAAACTGGAGGAAAAATATCTTTCATCAAAGTTACTTAAAGTATACAGTGTGTGAAGTTGTTTGGTTAAAAGTATCAATATGGAGTCGGTATATTAAGAATACCAAATATTTTATTTGGAGAATATTCTGTATTTATGTATATCGTGAACTTCCTTAGTTTTTGCCCAACTTTATCGTTGTTGTTTATTTGCACAAATTTAATTATTTATGGTTTACTTCTTTTAAATAAAGCACAAAAATATTAAGGTACGTAGCAATATTTTGTAGAGAAAAAAGATAGAGATGATTATAATATTGGAATATATGATTTCTGAATTTAAATCAATCTTGAAAGAAAATCTCTAATTTAAAGATTACTCTATGACCATTGCCAGTAAACTTATGTGGTGAAATTTTGATAAAATAATTTAGTATTAACTAAGAACATGGTATGTCGCTAGTGGTAGGAAAACTACTTTTTAGAGGTTACTTGTTTATTTTGTTGCCTATAAAATACATATGATGTCTTTTAAATGTATTTGGCATAATTCCCAACTTGTCAATGAGAAATAGTAAAATAAAAGTTCTATTAAATTTGGACCTGCGTCGAAAAAATACCGGTTTGCCTCTGAATTGAAAACATAATTGGCATTTATGGATTTACGAAAGTCTTCAACATCAAAAGGTAAAGTTCTTAAAATTGTTTTATTACACTCTCTTGAATATTTTTCGTATAAAAAGTGTTTACTGTAAAATTACTACCTTTATAAAATTAGTCAATGTAATTTTGCAGTTAGCAGTCAAAGAAACATTCCACATATAAACAAATATCGTTCTAAATGTTTGTGGATAGGGAAGTGGGCAGGCATCAGATAGTTTTTATATATTTCTGTTAACTATACTTATTGTGATTTAATTACTAGCTTCTAGACAAAATATATTTTTAATAAGCTGTTAAATTTATCTATTTTTATGTTTTGTTAAAGTTACTTTGATATACTAATATATCAGAGCAGAGGCGGATACAGGAATTTATTTTAGGGGGGGGGGCCAAATCAAAAATAATGTAAAATATGCCTTTTAGGGTGTCATTTTTAACCCAAAAGGCTAATATTTAATCCAACTTTCAGACTTTAGGGGGGCTCGGGCCCCATGGCCCCCCTCTGTATCCGCCACTGTATCAGAGTAACATTAAAAATAAATCCTTTGAATTCAAATATAAATATAAAAAAAAACATTTAGAGCAGAACAGACAAAGGCGCTGGGTTAAACGTAGTCTTGATTAAGAACATAGAGGGACGATTTGGCCCAAAATGTTACTATTAAGTTTCATATCTATCTTAATAGATGGCTATTTTCTTTTATCTATGCTCTATGACAATGTGAATGGCATTATGACAAAAGCAAAAAAAACTCTGTTACCAGAATAAACACTAATCTACTTGACACCAATATTTTTAGCTTAAAATTATATTTATCAATTTTTTAAAGAACCTACCGTGAACTTGGAGAATGATGGGTTCGCTTATATCACTCTGCTCTTCACCCTTGATGATATTCGTCACTTTACACCGCCATTCCCCTTGAAACTCGTAGGTAATGTTACTGATGTGCAGCTTGGCTTCTCTGCCTCTCTCGATAATGCTGTCCGCCATGGCCGATTTCCTTCTTTGGATCCACTGGTAAGTCGGAGGTGGATTACCCTCGCCCAGACACTCAAAATTGACAGGGGAGAACAGGGTTGCCGTCTTCACTCTTTCGCGACCGACGCTTATGACTTTTGGTCGATCTGGAAAATAAAAAACAGCGAGGGTTAAATTAGTTTCATTTTGTTTACAGGGTGGAGTTTTGTGTGAAATTGGTTTGTTTTAATAGAAAACGCATATTTCCTGAATACATAGAGCAAAATCGCTATACAGGGTGTCCCAGGCTGAGCGTGCATTAGAAGTTTCTAGAGAACTGCAACATCTAGCTCAGAGATTTTTTGCACATCATAGTTTCACAACGAGATCTATCGATTAAAAATATTTTCAATATGGCGGCACTTCCGGAAGTACAGGAAGTTGACAGCAACTTTCTTATTTTAAATGGGTGCCCCCATTTTTTATTACATACTTAAATTCTCTGCAAAATTTTATGAATTTTGATATTAACACTCTAAATCTAACATTAAACGTTTTTGAGGAAAAAATTATTTAAAATTTTTGAACGAAAAAATCTGCCTGTTAAAAATATGTGTCTAGTCTAACGTCAAATTTAGTGATTACCACAGCCACTGTGCCATAAAGAGGAAACATGTGGCTATCTTTTTCAAATATTAAATTGTTCGAATGTTATATAATAATGGCCGCAGCTGTCATAGAATTGAGCGACTAAAAAATTATCATAAATCATTTTTTTCAAATGGAATCCCACTTTTTTTATTTCACTAGTGAAAAGGCTTTTCAATTCGTTACTTTTTGACTGTTCATTAGTGTTCATGTTCCTATACCTAAAATAAATCGTTTTTAAGTTATTTAAGATTTAGTTTTAAAACGTATATTTTTTCTTGATTTTAACCAGTAGCCTATGACTTTAAACGTCAAGTGATGTAAAACAGTAGATCTGGCCATGTGATATTGTGACGCTTGATTCAAAAAGCAGCATTATTTCCGAGCCAACTTTGCGCTGTTTTTTTTTCGATCATACGGAATATTATTAATATCAACTTTAGATATATCACTAAAGAGCGAAAATACGAACAAAAAAATACACTTTTTAAACTCTTAAGCATACAGTATTTATAATATAGGAAATTCAAATAATTCGTTTTCTGACAGATGGAAATAAATTGTCTGACCTTTTGACACTTAATGTCAAAGGAAGCTAGATAAAGTCAAGGAAAATATATGTTTTCAAATTAAATCTTAAATAACTTAAAAACGATTAATTTTAGGTATAGGAACATCTATGGTTAAAAAGTAACAAATTGAAAAACCGTTTCATTAGTGGAATAAAAAAACTAGGTTTCTATTTGAAAAAAATGATTTATGAAATTTTTTTAATCACTCAATTCCATGACAGCTACCGCCATTATTATATGACATTTGAACAAGTTAATTTTTCAAATAGATAGCCACATGTCTTCTCTTTATGTCACAGTGACTGTGGTAATCACTAAATTTGACTTTTAGGCTATACAAATTTTCTTCACAGGTAGTTTTTTTCGTCCAAAAATTTTAAATAATTTTTTTCTCAAAAACGGTTTATGTGAGATATAGAGTGTTTAACATCAATATTCATAGAATTTTACAGAGAATTTAAGTACATAATAAAAAATGGGGACACCCATTTAAAATAAGAAAGTTGCTGTCAACTGCGGCCATATTGAAAATATTTTTAATCGATAGATCTCGTTGTAAAACAATGATGTGCAAGAAATATCCGATCTAGATATTGTGGTTCTCTAGAAACTTCTAATGTACGCTCAGCCTGGGACACCCTGTAGATGACATGGTCTCGATTTCTGAGACATGCTTAAAGTCATAAACCACTTGCCGATATTTTCACTGCGAACCGAGATATAGGGTCGTTTTGAATTTTAGCATATTAATAATGTCGCTCTATTGAAAGATCATATTATCATTGTCTGATGGCTGTTGGGCAGTTACTCTAGTAGAGATGGTTTTAAGTCCAGAAGTTATATCCGCTATAGTAGCTTTAATTGAAGATGATAAAGATCAAAATTAAGACGCTAACGAATTTAGGTGTGCACGAAGTACAGTGCAGTAGCTTCCCCGAGATAAATTCATATACTAGACGTCCAAGAACCTTCGTATGGAACTTTGAATCGAGACGATTGACTTATTGTAAGTTTATCGCTAAGAAACCACCGTTTGCCAGCTTTTCAAATTGATAATGAATTGCACTTAAGGAACGTACATATTATCTAACGGACTATAAGAAGAAGATTAAGTGAAGCAAATCTTATGTCAAGAAGGCCTGCTTCGGGAACACAACTTACTAGGTCTGTTGACTAGGACCTGAAGCGAAGGCATAGTTTAATGTAAAAATTACGAAAAATTAGCCTAACCTAACCAAAGCGAATATCTCTAACAAAAATGAAGCTATTGTCATGAACGAAAAAACAAGCTATCGAAAAAGGATGTATCTAGATGATAAAATTATTTTTAAATTTCTTGCTGTCTTAACATATTCCACAGGGTGTTTCAAAATATCAACAATATCATCAATTCACCAAAATATCAACATTTTGTTTGCCCTCATATAATTGACAGATGAGAACTTTCATTTTTAATTTAGAAAGAGATACTAAAAAGTCAAATAATTTAGCTACAAATTGCTTAAAAAATCATCAAAATCGACCCACTAGAACAAAATATATTAAACTTTTAATTATATCAAAATTTAAAGGTGCCTATTTTTCGTGCCGGTGAGTGTATATGTTACATTGAAAGTCGGAAACTCGGTGATTGTTAACATTCACTAGGAAATGCTAGCAATAACGCATTGGACCAGTAAATGTGGTATTTTAAAGAAATTTGTTGAATTTTCCTAGTAATTTCTAACATTCACTAGTGAAACTAACATTTACTAAAGGTTGCCAATAAAAGTTATTCTATTGTACAGGGCGAGTGTGGTGAGGAAAAATGTATTATAGTTAACATAGTAAACATTTTAAAGTGTACAAAACAATTAAAAAGACATTCATAAACATAAGATTACTTATTGGTACAAGTTTTTTTTTAATAAAATTCTTTATCGTGGACACAATATAGTATGATCGAATTTTCTTCAACGGGAGTTATTCGTTTTTCAAACCCGCTATTTGTGCATATCGAAACGTTTAATAAGTTCATAGTCACTAGGTTCATTAATATCTTTTTCTTTTGAATGCTTAACTTTTGCCATGACTTCATTATATTGCAAAATTGAAAAACAAGCACTATGACATTCTGGCGAGTGCTTAGTTTACCTTAATTTTTCAAAGAAAATTTCTTCCGTAGGGAAAATAATGAGAGCACTTTTTACAACGATAACAAAAAATTATATATAACCAGATGTCTGTTAACGGTGCCAACTTTTAGTCCAATTTAATATTATCCTTATATTGCCTATTATTCAACTTATCCTTATTTATCGTTATATTTTAAAACATGTGACAACCGCGCTAGCTGACTCTTTCAAACTCACTACTATCATAGTATAAGGAAACTAGTAGCTTGTCAAATCCTTTGTTCTTTTTCTGCCACTTTATATGACCTTGTTCTCGCGTCTCGTGAACACTGACGTAGCTGTATAGTCGTGGTCTATAACTAGGCAAAGTATAGTCGTAGCACTTGCCATAGTTTCACAGATATGTATTTAGGAAAATATGAGTTCACGATAAAATAAAATAAAAAAATAATCATCGAGTAAAGATTTGCTTAAAAACAGAATATTTTCACATTTCGTGTAAGTAACAATTCTTCTGTATCTAAAAATCTTCTGATGGGAAGAAATGCGGAAAAAATATATAATGACATGTTTTTATATTATTTTCGACTTTTTTTTAAATTAAAACAAGTTTTATTTTAACATTAATGTGTTTGCTTTGTAGTAATATATCGGTTAGGTGGTTTATATACTATTATTAATACATTGAACAACACATTGTACTAACTAATAAAATAACATATTTAAACTTCAATAATTGCTAATAAACATTACAGAAATTTCAAAAGAGAAAAAAAATGAGAAATAGCATCACTACTTTCTCAGGTAATAAAAGAATATTTTTTTAGTTAATGTTACCTAGTCTCAAATGTACCGAAAGAACTGTGAATTTCCGGTTCTGAACCCTTCTTCTTCTTAAAGTGCCTTCTCCATTCAGTGAAGATCGGCAACAACCATGGCAAATTGCTCTCTATTTTTCGCTCTTCTCAGCAAAGTATGTGAGTCCAGGCCTGTCAAATCTCTGATGTTCTACAGCCAGGAGCATTGCCGTCGTCCGGGTCCGCGCTTTCCCTCAATTTTACCCTCGATGATGAGCTGAAGGAATTCATACTTGCTATGTCTCATGATATGGCCCAAATAGGCTGCTTTCCTCTTTTTTATTATGTCGAGGAGTTCTCGGTCCTTGTTCATTTGGTTTAGAACTCGTTCATTCGAGACACGGTCAGTCCATGGTATTCTCAGCATTCTGCGATATGCTTCCAACTTATTCATTGCGCTTACTTTGAGTGTCCACGACTCAACCCCGTAGAGAAGTGTGGAAAGTACATAGCACTTGACGAAGTTGTCTTTTATATGGAGGTTGAGACGTTTATCGCACAGTAGGTTCCGCAATTTTAGGAAGTTTGATCTAGCCATCTCAATTCGAGCTCTGATCTCAATGTCTGGGTTTAGGTCTTCACTAATCCAACTGCCCAAATATCTAAACTTTGAGACTCTTGCTATTGGTGTCCCACCTACGACTACCTCCGTTGCCTGTCTTGCATCTCTATTTATCACCATGACTTTTGTTTTGTTTGTATTTATCCTGAGACCCATTGAGTCGCCCACCGAGGACAGTCTATCAAGAAGTCTTTGCAGGCCCTCAGTGGTGTCTGCAATAACGACGGTATCATCAGCATATCTCATGTTGTTAATCAGCCTGCCATTCACTTTTATGCCGTCTTCTGATCCCTCAAGCGCATTTCGAAATATTAGTTCGGAGTACATATTGAAGAGCATAGGGCTCAATACGCATCCTTGCCTAACTCCACGCTTGATAGGTATTGCTGTTGTTTCAGTGTCCTGTAGTTTTAC